ACAAGGTGTCCTTTATATTTTTACTCTCCAATAAATGACTAAGCAAATCATTTGGAACTCTACACTCTGTGTGTCTCTAGTTGTTTGAAATCAACTAGGTGTTCCCTGTCAATTGGATTACATAATGTGGGAGTCATAATGACTTTATGACTCCCACTCAGCTGTGGGGCATCCTTATTCAGGTGGGTACTAATATACAGTATCAGTGCATATATTCTGCATCAACTACATGGGAATATACGCTGTATATTCACTGCAATTTACTGAGACAGTGAGAGGCAAAGACAGAGACAACAAAAACAAGATGTAACCAGACAACCAGTGTACTAGCTGGAGGCGTGAAAGCGAGAGGAATTCAACCCTTGGCCTCTGAGAAGTATGGTATCCTACAGTGACGCTGTGTAGGGACAAACTGGAAATGTCAATGCTGGGCCACATGCGCAATGGGATTTAATAAAGTCTGTTTTTCCATTTCAAAACAATGTCACAGACTTGAGAGTCTACTTAGACGTGGGCAGTAATGGTCAGGAAGCAGACGAAACATTTGAAAAGACCGTCATTAATGGTCACAGGATGTGCTTTGGTGCAGCAAAGATTACATGTTTCTTGCTGTTATTATGTCTCACACTACTCATTTCCACAATTGGCCATCGTTACTTAATCCACACAGCCAACTAAAAGCACCACAAAAGGCAGGGCTCCTTAAAATTCTTCTGACAAAACAGACGTGCTCCGACTATTTAGTGTATGAAGAAAATAGTCTACAAGAGGTCCTTTAAGAGATTGAATGCTGGGCTGTTTTTTGGAACAAGTCCAAGTCACAAGGTCCAAAGAAGGCAAGTCTGAATCATGTCTCAAGTCTTTAGAGGACAGGTCCAGGTCAAGTTTCCAGTCTTTAGAGAGCAAGTCTAAGTCATGTCTCAGGTCTTAAGAGAGGATGTCCAAGTCAAGTATCAGGTCTTTGGAAAGAAAGTCCAATGCCTGTCGCAAGTCTTTAGAGAGCAATTCAAAGTCAAGTCTCTAGTATTTATGGTGCAAGTCCATGTCAAGTCTCAGCTGTTAAGAAAGCATGTCTAAGTCCAGCATCAGGTCTTTAGAGAGCAAGTCCAAGTCATGTCTCAAGTATTTAGAGAGCAAGTCCAAGTCATTTCTCAGGTCTTGAAAGAGCAAGTCCAAGTCATTTCCAACTAAGAAATTATTGAATAAGTTGCCATGACAAAAAATATAAAAAGATGGAAAAAAAAGACGAAAGAAATATTGCTCACTGAAGCTCAAGATTGAACTCAAATAGAAAGTGGAAGTGGGTGCGTTCGTGTATAACCAGAAAACAGACAGAGAGTAATGAACCGATTTTATATTGTTTGGTTTATTAACAGTCCGCATTATAATGCTGGTGTCACCCCCTGAAAGAGCTGCTGCTTCCGCTGCAGTAGAATAGCTTAAAGGTGAGATTCATGTTGAGACAAAAAAACACTTTTTCTCATTAAAAAAAAAACAACCAAAGGCCTGCGTACTAGTAAGTGCAGAACACATTAGCTAACACCTAATTGGCTAAGCGGAGAAGTGTCTTCACTTCCCAGTTATAGGTGTATTCATCTAATGGACTCAAAATAGTTTTTAGTGACAGTTTAGGCGAACACTTTTCTGAAGTCTACTCCTTACTGCGATGTTAATTAAGATGGTACATGCAACACAGTTTCCTCTCATCCTATGGCCTGAGGCGTCCTAATAAAAGGGCCACTTCAAACAGCAAGTGAGCATCTAATTAAATTTCTCCACGAATTAATGAGACACAATGTTTACTCCTCCGTGAGACGATTAGTGAAGCTACTAAGACTGTGCACCCATGATGCTGATGTTTAGTTTCAAAGGGGCTCGGTGAGTCCCTTATTGTTTCACCTCTCAAGAGCACCTAAATGATATGCAAATAGTACAAGCTAATGTTCCCCGTTGGACAAAACCTTGTCGAAGGCCCCTGTAATGTAAGTAGCTCAGATTGCCTCTCTGTATTTACCTATGGCTTGTATTGTCGTATCTCTGAAGGATGCAAGGTATAATTGCCAAATGGTAATGCGTTTTTGTTATGCTTCCTGGAGGCCCTATTTTTATTTTGGAATATTTAAAGACCTCTCACCTCTCACCACTCCTTTTGTGCTTTCGGGGTTAAAACAGTAAACATGAGTTGTTTGCAAATGTCAAATATCAATAAATGTCAGCTGATATGTTAAATGCTTGGTCAAAGGCTATGATAATATTAAATCCTGTTATGAATAAAGCTCAAATACATTTAAATTAAAAGATATGCATATAAGATACATGTTATGCAAAACACGTGATGCTTGCTCTTATAACACAATGGCACTGTGCTGTAGCATAGTGTAATATTCATCATTGTCTCAAGGTGCAGTAAAAATCTATCTGCAAATCCATTTATTTGCTGTTCCATATAGGATACGCACACCCCGTCCAGTTGTCTTTTATAATGGAAAATCAACTGATGCTAAAGGGACTAATGGACAAAACAATCGATAACAACAATCAATTTGTTGCTATTCTTGATCAGATTTTGAAGAAGTCGACCACTGGGCACAACTATCAAAAACGCAGTTGTTTATGTTAATTGTTTGGCCTATAAGGCTGTCCTCAGTAATGCACTATAATTCATGTTGTACTATAAAAAACAACAAATCCTTCATAGGGAGGAGGTCAGGGTGGATGCACTAGACTTTCACCCTGGAGACTGCTCTTTGCTAACTTATTTGTTACGTAATTTCTGTACTTAAGTAGCCCCACTTACGTAGTTCATTTAACCCAAACCTAGATCTTTGCTTTAACCATACCGAGTAGTTTTGTGGCCCAAACCAGGTCTGCACTTCCACTTACTTAAATATATTAGTATCAGGCTCAAAAGCAAAATCCAGCATAGATATATTTGTTGTTACCGTACATTAAGATTTACAATTTACTGACTCCAGACTATGTTATTATGGTATGGAGTACAAACATAATACCATTTGTCACCAACACACAACAACAAAATAATGTCACCCAGCAGGAAGTAAGCAATACATATATTATTGTTCAAGGCAAGTCATTTTGAGTAAACAGAGGTCCGTGTTATTGGCCCTGAACACATTTCCAACTAAATAGAGCCAATCTTTGCCCACCCCCTGGTCATAACATTACGTCAACACACAAAACTCTGAGTCTTAAGCAAAATACAAAGTCCTGTGATGTTGTTATCAGCTGAGGAATACCTTCGAAATGAGATGCTATCTTTTACTTAGTGACATCACATTACTTGCTTTATATCCTCCCACCTCGACTATAGCAGCGCCTTGTTGAACAATACAGAGGTGCTCCAAATTGTTCAAAATCCAGCAGCCAAACTACGGACACGGACAAAGTGTTTCTAACACATCACACCAAATTCGCCTTCACTGCACTGGCTTCCAATCTCTTTTAGATGTCACTTTAGAGTACTATCAAACGCATGTAAGGCTTTGTGTTGTCTGGCGTCTGCGTAAATCACTGTGTGGAAATTACTCTGTGGTGCTTTGATGAATAGTATACTAGATACTCTAATATTCCATAAGAAGTGGTTGGTTTTTGTGATTCTGGACAAAGTGATATACCTGGGTGCGGAAAAGCACAACAGGATACATACAAAATGCAAAGTTAGTGAGACGAACTAAGGGAGCGAAAGGGGGCCAACAGCTCAATTTTGCCCCAAGGTCCACGAGAGGGTTAATCCAGCCCTGGCTAAAATGACCCCAAAGTAACAAAGCATGAAGGACTATCCAATCTTTGTTAGTTTGTGATGCACCTTAAAAAAACAAAATGTTAATGGACTTGCTATCACTAAAATATAATTTGTAACAACTAAGGAGATTTGACATAAATATAAAAAAGGCGAGTATGTCACATTTTCTTCCCATAAGAAGGTTCATAGCCTTCATGCTTTGCTGCAAATGCTGCTCATAGACTGTAAATGCTGGAAATGACGCATAAAACCGCCTGCACAGTATGTCACCGAAAGATAAGAAAGGCAGACATTGACATTAAGGCGATACAGTGAAGTTCATCCCCAAACCTCTAAACTGCAGACGGACATCTCTGACCTACCACAGCTGGAATGACCTTTCTGGACTTTTCTGTAAACTGCATCACATTAATTAGTGAAGCCAGGCCACCTCAACATTTGCTCTCAGGGATGGAGGAGTGCAGTTTCCCTTCCACTTTGGATCAGACCTGCCTCCACTCAGACCTTTCTCAGCTTGTTGGGTGTCTGACATCCAATCCCAACAGCCTCATTACCGCCTGGAAGGCTGTTGCGACATGACAGGACGGGAGGAGGTGCCAGGCGGTTCAGGTGTGGGTCGTGGCCGGTATGAGAACTGCTGTCGGTGTGGACTTTGGCCTAGCATGACGTCACATCTCTCCCGTCGCTATTAAGGACTTAGAAAGGCCTCTAACGGATCAAAACAAGCTCAGGGTTGCGTCAACGGTGGTGTCGATACGCAGCAGGATTTCAGTGAAAGCAGATTGTGGATCGTGTGTGTGTGTGTGTGTGTGTGTGTGTGTGTGGTTGACCACTCTTTGAGCAACACTGGCAGAGTAGATAAGATGTTATTTTACAAGTGTTAGCCAGTTTAACGAGTCATTTTGAGGCACACATATTCCGTTTGGAAACGAGATTGCGCTTCAATTTTGAAAGACAAACATGATAAACAACAATAAATATTAAAGCAACATTAAATCGAGGACAACACGTACTACAAGAAAACACACTAAATGTAAAGCCCAAACAAGAATGAACCGAAGCCAGGACATACAGAACGTGTAAACAAACTTTAGACTCAGCTCCACTTTACGCACGACTTTCGTGACTAAAACTTTCCCTTGCGCTGTCTTGCAACCGCTCAGACGAACTGTAAACACGTTGAGCACAGTTGAAATAATTGATCTACACATACGTCTGTTTCCTTCAATCACCTTACCTTCTATGTGTCTTCTGCAAGACCCAAAGCGGGCGACAAAGGAGAGCGAAACGGCGCACAAAATCCACCACTTGTTGGACAGAGTCATGCTATTGTTCATGTGGGGCTGGTCGGCGCTGAATGTAAAGTTAAGAGGAACACTTCATCAAGTTGTAGCGCTGAAGTTGTGAGCGTGCGCGTGTGCGTGTGGGCGCGTCCTTCCGTCTGATAACAGTAGAGTCATCAGGCACTACGCAATCTAAATTGCAAGTAATTTCCTGGAGGGTCATACACTTCAGGAAATACAATATCCCCCATGACTCATAACTGTTACCGAGGAATTAAAAAGAAAACTAATGAGGATTTTTTTTTCTTTATTATTCATGGCACGTTCTCATATTACCCAAAATAAGGAGTATGACATGAATACTTCAATAAAAGGACTGTGGGCAATGGGATGTCAGCAGAAAACTTGATCCTTTCGTTCAGCACACAAACACACACTCTCTCTCTCTCTCTCTCTCTCTCTCTCTCTCTCTCTCTCTCTCTCTGTTGGGAGCGGATGAACTGTAGCAAGCCAAGAACCCAGGCTGCATCTTTTCAACCCCCTTTAAAACACTTTAATTCACTCCAATTCATCTTGCAGTGATGAGAAATTATACTTCTGAAGCCCAGACTCAGAGCTCTGTCCGTTTCATTCAGGAGATGCGTACCTGAGTTATGGCCTTTAGAGAGGTTTTGAAACCCCCCCTTTTCAGCTCCTCTAGTGACACATACTGTAATAGAGCTTCAAGCTGGCACATATACGCTGAAATGGCTGCGCCTTGTACTTTCAGAACTTCAATACATTCATTACACTGTGTTAAATGCCGCACAATGCACAGTAACTGCACTGTGCCAAGGCAGGAGATTTCAGACACAGTTGGGGGTTGCCCAGAATAAATATTATTGCTGTTTGAATGTCATGCAAGGCACTCTGGTGGAATTTATCCTTATCCTTAGAATGTGCTAAGCTGATTTTAAGATGAAAGCAAAGGCAATGACGTTAAATCCACAGTCAACTGGAATACTTCACTTGTTAAGAGACTCAAGGCCACCAGCTGTAATACAAAGAAATATCCCAGTGTCTGTGTGAAGGGATAAACTGCACACAGCTCATATCATAACCAGGACCAGCTAGCAGGCTACCAGCAGAGACTCCCAAGAAGTAAACAGTCCCAGCTATGAAATAGTTTGGAACATAACCCACATTTTAGTCTGGTCTGGTACAAAATAAACAATATAAGAGCTTTATGGACAGAGCGGGCCATCTGCTTCCCCCTGTTTCAAATTGCTGTGCTAAGCTAATTTAGCCAGCAGTTGGCCAAAAGTGAGTGTATCTCCCACAATGTCAAACTACTCCTGTAAGCATGCAATGCTATTTCAGACAAAAGCTTCCAACTTTTACTGCAACAGATTGATGAAGGCCCTTTCCTGTTTCAACGTGACAATTTACCATTTTTGTTGCTGGTTCAAACTTTATTCATTCAGTTCAGTACAAAACCAGGCAGATATGAGCACTGGGAACAAACTTCAAACCTCAGAAGCCTCCAAACTACACCAAAAGTGAACGCGTGTCGTGATCTCTTCTGTGGCTTTCGCAGTCTTGCATCAAGCTTCAAGCCACGATGTTACATACTGTATATAGGAAAAAAGCACAAAGTCACTAATTTGGACAGTGGAAATAATGATACAATATAGTGATTAACGCTTAGGGATTCAGTAGATCAGTAGATCCAACTGCTTTCAAAGAAAGTGAAAGATCTCACAAATCCAAATTGTTCCTAAACTGATGTCAACACTTGAAAACGTTTTTGTGCTGTCCTCAGATGGTGCCACAGTTGCCAAGACAAGCTCTCTTTCTGGAGCAAGGGTTAGCTGGGAAAAGTTAATATTTGTTTTGTCTCCATGTAGGGCTGCTGTGCTGTCATCAAGACAGCCTCCTAAACCCCCAACTGCTCTCATAGCGCTCATAAACCTCCAGCAGCAGCAGCAGACAGTGGTCATACTAGTCAGCTCCCAGGAGTGACTGTGTGGAACATTACAAGTGTGATGCAGAGAAAGGAATTGAGCAAGGATGCTCCCTCCACCTTCCTTTGGCAAATAAAGGTTTGGAAATACAATAGTAAAAATGATAAAATAGTGATATGTCTCTCGAAATGTCACTAAGATAACTGACTGTGATACGTGGAGATGTTATTAACTGCATGAGTCAGTTACATCACGTAAGTCCACCCTGAGTAAACGATGACGATTTCGTTTTGCATGGGCCAATATCTTCCTGACAAAATGCTTTTCTTGACAAGCATTGTGTCATCATTATAGGAGGTGTGGTGTCATATTCTGAGGTGCAGCTTGCTGTGTTGTCGAAAGAGAACCGGGATTTCTGGAAAAACTTCGCCTACTTCCAAGTTGCACGTAGAAAGGAAATTGGAAATCTTATTAAGGGGACAAAGCTCCAGTCCGTTGTATTCAAATAGATTTAAAGCACGGTTCCAAACAAGCAGCTGTCTGCTGTGAATGACCTTCATCTTAAGTAGCAATTTAATTTGAATGGCAACATTCACTGAGAGTTTGATCGTATGAATTCATATAGTTTTGCCAAAGGTACATATGTATAAATATTTAATTCCACAATAACAGCTCTAACTGGCAAGACCTTTTCCAAAACAGAGCCGCATGGAAAAACAGATTACATGCTGGAGCCTCAATCCATGAAGACGATCTCCGTGAGTCCCCACCAAAATGGCTCTCCCTCTTCCCACTTCCAGAACCTCACATCAAAGACCACACTGCCAGAAGGTTTCTGGTACCACAACTGGCCGCCTAAGAAATGTGAGGACCCACAATAAGAACCACGCCAGGAGGGCCGATGATGATGTGGTGCTCATTTATGACTAACCCACTGGAAAATATCAGCTCATACTTTTGGTTTTTACGGCCCACAACTTTACTGTTTGGTTCAATGTCACTGGTCTTACCAACCTTGTTTTCAGTGGCAACAGCTGCTTTTAGCAAAAAATTGTCAAAAAAAACAACTACTACTGAAAAAAACGGCATAGAGACACAGTTAGCGGCAAGCTTAGAGGCAGGCATTTTCCTCAGGAGTTGGTGGAGACCAGAACAGAGCTAAAAGGAGAGTGAATATTGGACTTACGTTTTTTCCACTTTGTCAGAAACATGGCTCAAAAGTAATGCTAATGTTGGGACCATGGACATATTATGTAAATGTTAGTGTAGTGCTGTCCCCAAGTGGCGAAAAACTGAATTAATGAAGGTTAAATCTACATTAACCATAATGCCATCAGCACTTAACTTAAACTAGCGGTTTTAGTTGCCTATGTCTTTAACCAAATTCACAATCAACATTGTGTCTAATATGTTTCAGGAAAGTGTAGCTCAACCATCGTTATGTTTCTCCCAAAATGCATTTCACTCTCTCAAATTAGCATCGTAATTGCGCTGATGCTGCTCAGTAGAGCTCGACTATAGTGGCTTATTTTGGATTACCTTCGTATCCTAACTCAGAAGGTACAGTAGTTATTGTCTTTGCCACTTCAACTTAAGTGTATAATGGTGTAATAGTAGAAGATGTATGGCAAACAAATGTTAAGATGTCTGAATGTGGTGCATGCATATACAAATAGTAAGACATGAAATAATAAAACTCACTTTGAAGATCCCTGAAACCAAATAAACCACACAAGCTGAAGTAAACCGTTGCCAGATTTGTTCTAGTTTTGAGAAAAATGAGCACTGGAGGCTGGAAATTGCACTAAATCACTTGTACCACACCAGTCCACAGCCTTGGCACCCTCTGTGTGTGCATGCTTGGTCGTACATTTGTGCACGTGTGGGATGTCAGTGGACAAGAATGTGCTTGTCTGTGAGACTAATCGGGCAGCACTATTACTCACTCCGTTCAGGGAAACTGTGCCTCTGTAGCCCCCCCCCACCTTCTGCATGGAAAGTCCTCGAGTGAGAGAAAGTCAAAGTCACATGGTCAAATCCGCAGCAACGCTTTGATGGAATTTCCTGTGTGCTGATTTTCCCACGATATCATGGCCTCAATATTTCTCGCTTGAAACAATGTGTTGGAGGAGAAGACTCCTGACACACTTTGGCTTGTAGCAGAAGACGTGATGTCATTTGTCTGGCCTCAGAGATGAATGATTTGATTTTTTTATGTCTTTGGAGGGAAAATAAAATATGTATTGGAAATGCAGAGGCCAAAATTATTAATTTTTTGTTTTTTTGTATTTTATTTTAGGTAACTGGTCATTTATCGTAAAATCCCAAACACATGACACATAAACATCAGCTGTAAGGAAAATACTGCAGCAGTAACATTCCGCTGTTTATCGCTTAGGACAGTGGTTCCCAACCCCCAGGTTGTGACCCCTAAAGGGGCCACAAGATACATCTGAAGGGTCTCAAGATTATTATCAAGTTAAGAAAGGAGAAAAAAAAAGCATACCTTTTCTGGCTTTTCAATAAATCGTTGCTTTGCTTGTGGAATTCAGGAGTTTCCACCACCACCTATAACGAACTATCTAAGAAGGAAACATCACTCTTATATAGATATAAGCAACTTGGTAGCAGGTGGCTTGTCAATAAAAGTCAAAATGGTTGAGAACCAGGGCTTTAGGAGATGACATCAACATGTCCACATCTGGAGTTCTAAACTGTCACAGCTATTACTTTCTTTTCCAACGGGTGGTGCAGGTTAGCATGAAATCTGGACAGGCAATGACCAAACAACTCCCCCTTGTGGAGAATCAGCAAGCTGCTAAATGTGTAGTGTGGGCTTGTGAGGTAATGAAAGAGCCGTCCCGTTCCTACAATTTGTTCCATCTAAAAAGTCAGTAACAACTCATTTCCTCATTCCATACATTCACGCAACACTATCAGAAGTACACCCGGTTGTCTGTAGGTTAAAGTCTCAGTCTTCAAAGCCATCATTCTCTGTCCTATATTGCAGCTCTCCCCAAAAGACTTGGATTAAGCCCTGCTTAAGACCACTTCGTTCTGTCATACCCTGTTTGGCTCAGATAACACTTGCTGTGCCTTAGCTCCATTAGAAATCCTCTACTGGAGCCAGACATGTCTCAAGTTATAATGAAAAGAAGTTTAAAAATAGCCAAATAACGTTGGTGGGACAAATCAATACGAGCGATTAAGCAAGGCAAG